AACCGCCGACCGGTTAGCTCAGTAGGTAGAGCATCGGACTTTAGTGCGGGAGGTCGCAGGTTCAAACCCCGGCCGGACCAACACTCAGGGTCTTAAAATAATTGAGGAGAAGTTGCTGCCTTTGTCTTTCTCCATCTGCAAATGGTAAGATCTTCTCGTCCTCTCGGATAACGACGTAAAATCGGAGGTCCCGTCTCTCTACACTTCACTCACTAACCTGTATTAGAGGGACGTTAAAGAACCCACACCACTGTTCGCATAAGAGTAGGGAATGATTCCCGGTGTGTGTGGCTAGGCCTTACTACTAACCCATACTAATTACTAACCCCTCATGATTGTAAGCCGCGTGGCTGCCAATTAAAACCTCGCAATGCACGTGATCGACAAACCGGGTAAATTTGCATTCCACAAATGTGCAATTTCGTGAATATTTTTATACTTTAATGAATTGATAAAGAAAACCAAAAGACAGATGATAAACATTGCATTTTCGTCAAGTATTTTACATATGAACCTTTGGACATTATTGACTGGGTATTGGCTTTTCTGAAAATCAAAGGGAGACTGGGAACGAGTGTAAAAATCGTTCATTTTTAACGAAAATTRAAACGAAAGACAACAATTAGTGTTATTTTCTTTTTATGGAATTTGTTTCGTGATTCAAACTGCATTGCGCTTATGACCAGTCTCTGTTTGAATTTCGGAATGGTCGATTGAATGATTGATTGATTGGTCTGGTTATTTCTTACCTTTAGGAATGCAATTGCCCCATTTCTTGTCTTTATCGTAGTTGCTTGTCGTAGAGCACCATTTGTAAGGGTGATTGATATTGATGCAATTTGTATATGTCTTCTTGTTGTAGGTGAACGGGAACACACAATTAGCACCGTTGGCATTACCTGCTATCGTCTTAACTACACAACAATAAAACAACGATTATCACTCACTTACAAAGATAACATTCACCGCTAAAAAAAGCAACAACAAACAAAACAAAATCAAGAGAGGAAAAAAGAAAAACAGTGCACTTAACCAGTTGCTAGTACATCATTAARTCACTTTTATCTTTCATGCAAATTTTGCACTTTCCGTTGTTCACTCGAAAAATCGCTCAGAAATTTGATACTRACTTCTCTTTTAATTATCAAAGGACTTCGGCTTGCGTCAATCTCTTGCAATAATGTTAAAATAATGTAATAATAATYATAATGTTATAACACTCACTTGGCTGTGGGGAAAGAAGGGTGTGGTCGGTGGCAGGTCCATTGTTTATGCCTCCATTGCCCTTCGTGTTCCAAACCCAGTCAAATGTATCACTTGTGTCTTGTTTGTAGTTGCAAAACTTGTTTTCAAAATTGCAATTCAAGCTTTGCCCTGCAGCACCTTCAAATTATAATCAAGAGAAAATTATCTTATTACAAAGGCCGTTTAAAAGAGAGATAACATGCGAAGTGCATATAGGCACCATATGGCACATGTTATGAGGATAATCTGACAACATTTAAAAAGGCTTATGACAGGAGGAGCCAACAGGGTCTGTTCTTCTAAATAACTGTTCTTGAACGAATTTTAATCCTGGGAAAGAGATTTTGAGCTATATTGTTGACAATCTCACCAGCAAATGTGGCTCRCTTCCTTCTTTAAAATAATTGTGTTCCTGGCAAACGGTTTAGAGGTTTGTTGCGATACATTTCTTTGTATTTTTCACACGCGTACAAAGAAATGTATGGGGAACTAAAAATAAGTTTACACGCTCTCTAGATCAAGTACGCCCTTCAAATTTGGCCAGTTAACTCCTTTTTACAGTATCTAACGTTTGCAACTGATAACTTTTTCCGAATTTGAATTCAGCAGGAATTATTTGACATCGATTTCCCGGTCTATCCTTGTTATTTTGCGACACTTTGCCTTCCGGTCCAAGATGACTGCCAAAACCGTCACCCCATCTATTTCCGAGATCATCGGCGAGTTGACGCCCGTGAAAAATGTATGGAGAACTAAAAACTAATTTAATCGCTCCTAGTTCATGTAAGTCCTTCAAAACTGACCAGTTAATTCCTTTTTGTGGTATCTAACGTTTGCGATTAACGAATCTTTTAGAATTAGAATTCAACGGGAATTTTGGATTTCTCACCGTATCCTCGTTATTTTGCAAAACTTTGACTACCCAAACAAAATGGTGTCAAAACCGTTGTACGATCTAATGTTTATAGAGATAGCTTTAAAATGAAACGTTTTTTCTAGTTAGCAAGGAAGTCATATTTTATCGCAGAACAGCTTGGCTTTCTGCGTGAGAGTATTATTGCATAATGGTGTCACGCACCATGCCGTTGTCACATGTGACCAAAGCGGGAAGATCTGTGCCAAGCGCAAGTTTTGAAAAACTTTTCAAGATATTTCAAGGTCCAGAGATAGTGTTTACCGCACTCAATTGCACCTAAGATATGTAATAGATATCTTAATCTAGAAATGTTAGGACCACTTCCTCGCGTAAAAAATTGTAAAACGCTACTATTGTTACAAGCGTTTTACCACTATCATGTTTCATGTTCTGCAATAAGTCCATACTAATCCTAAAAAATCCATTAATTTGAGGAAATTTCCAAAGCTTATAATACCGAGCTATATCCATACATAATGCACATTTGCAATAACAATTATAAAAACAGTACTTACCAGATAGCAGACAAAATAAAAGGAGAACTGCTGTCTTGGCCATGTTAAGGCCAACTGTAACCCTTTATTAGGGTCAACTTGAGATGTCTTTATTTTCTCGCCTATGCAATATTCTTGGTGCGACGTTCTACAATTAAACATCAAAGAAGTCACACTTTTATTTTCAGCATTAAAAAATTGCTTTTCAAGAATGTTGACGACACTTTGTTCTCGACGTAGACTTGTATCAAACGCCGATTTGTAGTAAATTAATGATTAAGCTATCAAAAACGCGCGAAAATCTGGCTTCACCATGTCGGGATATGTTACCAGTTTATAAAACTGATATACTTCTAGTTTTGAAACTACCTTTCGGCTATATTTTGTCCTATACTCCAAATATTTAGTTATTATGTCACGTATAATCCCCCCTTTACAAACTATTTTGATCTTTAAATTCTTTTTCTGTCGTGTTTGCACAATCGTTCAAGCGCGAAACCTGAAACGACAGCTTTAGTTTGGATCAGAATCAACATTTGATCCATCAGACCCATTCAATCGTACATAATCAATGACAGAAATTAATCGCTGACGTGAATGCACTATATGTTAACAATTTCMTAAAACATCTGACATATCTGAATAAATTGTATTGGTTGGACTTGCCTGGCGAAATTCGGTCATGGTACCATAACTTACTGTAACTTAACATCGCTTTTTGTAAGTTTGTAGCTAGAAAATTACTATAACAAAATATCCTTCTGAAAGGGTTTGAATTGATATATTTCTTTAGCGTGTCTTATGTTAGAATCTGATACAAGGATGTTTTTTAGATATGTGTAACAAACGGTGCCTTCCCCAGCCAGTACGGTCTAATTAGCATAGTTCATTCATACAACGTGTATCGTGACCTAACCAAACATTTTAGACATCTTTTAGCAGTACATTTAGCTATCATTCAGACATTCATACCTGCAAATATGTCCAACAGTACGGCAATACTGTGCAACATTCGCTTGAACACAGCTAAATGCAACAACCAAGAATAGAGCGAGAGAATATGAGTATTCAACCAGTGGCTGGCACCGATAGTCGCCGCGATGCCCGGCTATTGTAGTGTTAGTATCAATAGTATGAGCCAATCACATCACGATAAAGTCACCTTTGAACTTTTTAAAAGAACAGGTATCCCAAACACAAGGTATTACATAATTTGCAATACTTCGAGAAGTGATCGAAGCAGTGAATTTTTACTTTCTTTTAAAAAGGCCAGTCTAAAAGCACCTTATGTAGAAGTATTAATTTGCATGAAGTCACAACGTTTCTACAGATTCATTGGAATCAGTTTGAAAGTTGAAACATTTAATACTGATCTATACTATTACTCAGCAGAATAATTGAAATAACTAGAAATATGATTTTGTCGGCTATTTACTACCTCTTAATTTGGGGATTAAGCCTGCTACAAAAGGCACACAACTTCTGGCTAAATTATATTCAACTTTTGTCTCTGATAATACTAATTATTTAGTGGGGGTGAGTGCGGGTGGGAAAGATCGCCATTTGAGGCATTATCTTTTATTAAAATGTTGAATAATATTCTAATATTACGTACTTTTCCTCTTCGTTTGCACGTACGTCATGGAAAAATAAATTTTCAGTAAAATTAGTCATAAACATAATTCAAGTAATCCATGTGAAAGAGCGAGTAAAACTCTGTATCCCTGAGGATTTTTTCGCCGAAAAGAGTTTTATATAAGATATAAGATATAAGCAATTTTATACGCTATTTTTTTAGAAGGAAATGTATGGCGAGATATGTTTATACGCTTTCACGGCACCAACATTTTTAGAGGGTTTTAAAATCAAAGATAAAATTTTGGTACTTTCACATAATAGACGTATTAAAATTCTGTATTTTGTGAAAGTTTGAGTCGAACCGAGCTTTTGTTGCAAGTTTATAAGCAATTTTGTCAGGTCAGACGATGAGTCTGCTACTGGTAASATTGTAACCCAGTACAACCTGCCTCATGGACGGGTCGTCGGCGTCTAAACCGGCTCCCCCACCAGTCTAACTGGTGAGGAGGGTGGCATGTACACCCAGCAGGACTAAAAACAAGACCTGTCAAAGGGCGAATGAGCTCATCTGAGCCACCGGCCATCATGCATGCTTCTTTATTCCTTGTATGTATTTTTTGTAGTGTCATTTATATTTTAATTTTCATTGTTGTAATTTTTAAGTTTGATGTCTTGGGACGGACTAAGAGCGGCAGCCATGAGGCGCCATCTAAAGCTCGCAGTCTACCATGACTCTGTCATTGTACTTGTTTGTAATTTGAAAGCGCTTAGAGCAGATTTGTATAAACGCTATATAAAAAATAAATATATAAAAATAAAATTATTATTATTATTATTATTATTATTATTATTATTATTATTATTATTATTATTTTATATGCCGATCTTTACAAAGAAATGTACTGCGGCACCGTACTGGTGGACCTCTGAAGTCCACCAGAAATCAGAGAAATGGCGGCTAACTGTTATGAACATAATTTCGGGTACAAAGTAGCAAATATAACTTATTTTCATTACATTTAGCAATTCTAAATGTATATTAAAACAAAAAACTACGATTTAGAAGAATTTTAGATGATTTCCGCGGCTTTTCATGCMCAAGACCTGGCGTTGTGTGACATGACGTTGGCTACCAAATAAAAGACGTTGTGCATCAAATTATTCGCATATAAGTTCAAAAATTATCTCGAAACATAGTTTTCTAAACTATATTTTAGAGTAAAATCGATTTCATGGGAAATTAGGTTTAAATTAATTTTTGGGGGGTCTATGACGTAACGTGCAAACGAAGAATATTATTATCGCTCACTTTTTTTTTCTTTTTTTCCTTGTAAAACTGTGATTTTTTGATATTTTTATACTAGTTTTCTTCTTGTTTTTATCACCCTCGCCTCGAATAGTCCCACACTAACTGCGAGGGCTGTTCAATATTGTAATTGTATTCAGAGTGATTTCTATAAATAAGCTGTTTGTTGTTGTTTGCCTTTCGGAGTCACGACAAGGACGCACGACACGGCGGGCCGATGAACCCAGAATCGATACAGAGAAATGTCGGCAGAACTAAAAATGCGTTTTCTCGTTCCCTAGAAAAACGAAGTCCTTCAAAACTAGCCAACTAATTCCTTGTTGTATTATTGATGATTCTTTCAGAATTTGAATACAATGGGAATTATTTTGACATTGATTTCTCGCTCAGTGCCCCTCAGTGTACCCCACAGGCAACCCAAACTCTCCCATTTACGGAGTGACTAAACGTCAGGCAGTCGAATTTTTTCTTTAAAAATCGTCGGAACAACCGTAATTTCAATTAATACAACAGGGGAAATGCAATAAAGACCGAAATAATATCGTTCGACAAGTTTCAAACACAAGCACGGCACTTTGAGATTTTTCGACTGCCTGACGGACCTGACGTTTAGTCCCAGAAATAAACGTCAGGCAGTCGATTTTTTGTTGAAAAATCGTCAGAACAACAGTAATTTCAATTCAATACGACAATAGAAATGCAACAAAGACAAAAATAATAKTGTTCGAAGTTTGTATACGCAAACACGCGGCACTTTGAGATTTTTCGACATGCCTGACGTTTAGTCCCAGAACTAAACGTCAGGCAGTCGAATTTATTTTCGAAAAATCGTCGAAACAACTTTAATTTCAATTAATACAACAAGAGAAATGTAGTAAAGACCGAAATAATACTATTCGACAAGTTTGTATACACCAACACGCGGCATTTTGAGATTTTTTGACTGCCTGACGTTTAGTCCCGGAACTAAACGGGTCAGGCAGTCGAATTTTTTTTCGAAAAATCGTCGAAACAACTTTA